TAAACTACTTTTTTGTGTTAATATCGCATGGACGAAGTCGCGGACAACAGCTAGTTTACGATAAATTGACTTTTGTAAAGTTATTAAGGTGGTATGTATGTCCAATCGCTCAAAATCTGTCTGGTTTTATAGATAACAAACGATTGGCATTGGTGGCCACACGCCAGCCAGGAACTCACTCAAAGCATCAAACCATCGCCAATTTCCCTCAATACTTGTCTTATAGGTAAATAAACTTTTTATATAACTTTAATATGTGTTATAAAAAACGGGTAATTTGATGTACTAAATTTAAATAGCCGGTGCACTGGGTGTGGTTGGTGGGTTGGAATGGCGAATCAGACTCGGTCAAAGAGTAAGCTTCGGATCTCCGCCGCGGTACGGTATCGTCACACAGTTGTCTCCCAGAGCAAAGGTCACTGTCATGCATGATGACAACACTGCAACCAAGGTAAAATTTATTCTTTACAAAATTTATACTAATTTAGAAAAGTAACGCCTATTTAAATGATAAATAGGTAATATGCACATGACGCCAAATTTGACAAAACTTTTTTACTATAAAAACATTAGTAGCCGATTTTAATCATTAAAAAGTGTCTCTTTAAAATTTTCCCTCGCAAAGTTCTAATACGCAACGCTATTGGTTATTGAATTATAAAGTTTTCCATGTTACAGGTGGAACTAACCGGTTTGTCGAGTGCGGAGAGCGAGCGCATGTCGCAGGCGCTAGGCGGCGGCGAAAGCGCGCTGCGCGTTTGCGCCGCTCTGCTCGGCGTCATGCCCAATGCGTGCCCCGTGCACACGCATCCCCTACCTGGTACAATCTCTATAAACACTTGACACTCTCTCACTCTGTTTCTCTTTTACTCTATGTATGGTTTACTCATTTTACGAACGCGACCACTTTTTAATCTTTGATTGTAGGTATTTCTTTCTAACACTACGAGAAAACACTTATTTGGTATCAAATACTGTTATAGAAGAACTTTTACAATAGGTTAGCTTCAACTTTTTATTGAAAAAAAAACATTTTATCTCCCATTGAAATGCTGACAACAGAGGATTAATACATAAACCAATGCGACAAAGTATGTTATACTTTTCCAGTTATAATTAAATATATTTACAGCTGACGTAGATGTATACGGCTTAAGAAGGCAACAAATGGAGCTCCTGATGTTGTGCGCTGTCAGAGGCCTGCTGTCCACTCGCACGAAGCTCAGAAAAGTTTTACTTCAACCTCCGGATAATGCAAGTAAGGAAATTTTCAATATTGACTAAGAGATAACAAAAGTGCCTTGAAATACAGTGAAAAATATAAAACGCATAGTTATTTGTAATCCTTTAAAAATGTTCTTAAATGAAGGAAAAATAATATTTTGCTAGAAATGTTTTATAAATAATTAATTTAATTGTAAAATAAATTTAATAAATTTTATGTGTTACCAGGTACAATGGAGCGGAGTGGCATGGGCGTGGGCACAGAGGGGACGTTGCTGCGGCGTCTGCTGGCACTGGCGGTGCGGCCGAGCCCGCTGGCGAGCGCGCACTCGCCGCGGGACCTCGCCAACGCCGCCGTCGCTTTGGTGCAACAGTTAGCAGCACACGTTGCCGGTATGTTCAATGAAGTTTTGTGAAGTTGTTTAGTAAATATTTGACATATATTTTATATGGTTTTGTTTACCAGGAGATGAAAAAGAAGTCGATTCCCCACCGGAAGCGCCAGTCGTGGCCAAAAGTAATGCTTTGCAGTTCTCAATGGGTCCATCAACTAGTACAGCAACATTATGTAAGTTCGATGATATTTGATTCGTAAGAATTAGTTTTTTTAAACATCTAAACAGCATTTATGTAATTTACCTTGATTTTAGCGAGGAAAGACCTGAACTCATGGGCGAATTCCTCTCAAGTGCAGCAAGTTATAGAAATGGGTTTCTCT